GCTTGGTTCCCCTGAAAGCCTTGTGAACAGAAGGGAAAGCATCCGACTGTGCTTGATATCACCGCCATCCACCTTCTTCGCTTTGTCCACCGAATGTGGCAATCGGTTTGGATAATCGTTAGGATCGCCAACCGTTTGGCAAAGTGAGAGCTACTCACACTGATGCTCATCTCTTCATGGCCGAACTGCCGAGTGTCTAGACAATTACAGAAAGCTGAAGATTCAAAACTCCCTGAGTTTCGTGGGAGGCGCACTGTTGATGAGTCCCAATTAAGAGGAAATAGATCCTCGGCTTTTCAACGTACACCGGTTTTTCTGACAGGACGAAACCTCAACTAATACCCGTTTAAAAAGATAGGTTGTGATTGGAGGTGAGCCAGAAGAAGTCCAGTGAGGGTGTCACGTCAAAGTTGAGTAGGTGAACGTGTTCTTTTCACTGTTCTGCGGGAGACTCACCCGTAACCCAGCTGATTCTCTCGTTTATGGTGTTTTAAGAGCCCCAAGAAGGTGAAAACCGGTCGTGAGCTGTGGAAAAATTTTCAGCAACCTTATGAGTAGTGTATTGCATCGGAACACAATTACTATCGAGTGAACCTATGATGGTCACAGTCGGCAAACTGGCATATCTATAACGATCATCCCGACAGACAATTGTTTTGAGTTCGTTTGAGAATAAGAAAGGAGTTAATCACACTGCGAATTCTCTCAACGGAGACGAGTGTAGTTTAAGATACCTCCAACGGGAACCAGCTGCTGGTAACTTAGACCCAATATATACGTTCGCAGCGTGTGATCCCAAGCTGTCTAACAAGGTCAACCACCTGTTTCACAGTGGTCTCTTTTTTAAAGGCTATATTTTAACACGACATTTCACGGTTCATCATGTTTTATGCCTTCAAAAGACCCGGTCTGACCGCATAATCCGATCCGGTCTTGTTTTTGACCCATATACCTGAGATGAATTCATTTCCCCTCCTTCCATTGTTGTCCTGTTGCTTTGTATACTTTCGGGCGACAACCTTCTGAGAAAAAACATGTTGGATTCAAAAGTGTCCCGGATACACGTTGTCTCATCTCAGTGAGCAGACTCAGAAATCGTGTTGCGAACTAGAAATAAGGCATAGTGGTGTGTTTAGGATTGTGAGTTCCCATGATCTGAATGTCTTACTGAAGCCGAGTCCTAGTTTCTGATGTTGATCACGTGCACAGTCTAATAAACCTGGCTGTGCCAGCACTTAATATGCTGTCTCACACGCTGTTCCCACACTTCAGTCAAACTACAGTTCAAGCTGCGACTCTGAGGCTGATACCCGGTGAACCAAAGACGGGACGGGAACGAAAAAATCCACCATTTTGGATTGGCGAAACGCGGTCAATCATCGATTTCTGGTTATCGTAACGATCGACCCGCGCACAAGCACAACGACTGGTGTGGTTTGTCCGAGAACTCGGTCACGTGCTCACACACTTGCGTTAAGTGGATAAACGACGGGAGTATTGTTTGCAGATGAAACATAGATCCAAATTAAATCAAATTACAGTGCTTTTCCTGTCGGATGCGTGACGCGTGACAAACCTCACAACCACGCCAGACGGAACGTGCAGGGAAAGTGAATGAAAGCGTCTGAAGTCATGATGAATGGCTGTACGTTTGACGGCATACAACAGCGCATTCAAATTGCCTGGAAATTTATGTCCCTTGCTAAAAACAAGCAGTTGGATAAAACTAAGCGGAAAATCGTCTTACAGTCCGGGTCGGGTAGCCAGGCAAAAAATGCTTGTTGTAAGGATAAGGGATGTCCAGTGAACGATTACCCGGTGTGAAATGGATACTTGGCATTTGTTGATAAACTAGTGTGGTTCGGTGTTTTGACTGTGTAGTGCTAACCTAGTGCGCTACTTGGTAGTCAATCTGTTGGTTTCCTCTCAAATCCTGTCAAGTGGCTTGCAAACATTTCGTCACCAATGTGGAAGATATCGGTAGTGACAGGTTGGGTGAGTACTTCCACTTTCTTTTTGTGTTCCTGTAGCATCTAAGCTTATGCCGTACCTCTAACGTGACTCATTTCGTCACCAGTGTGGAAGATATCGGTAGTGACAGGTTGGGTGAGTACTTCCACTTTCTTTTTGTGTTCCTGTAGCATCTAAGCTTATGCCGTACCTCTAAAGTGATTGGCTGTTGAAAAATTAGCTTATAGGTGGCTGACCAGCTGATTGGTCGGACGTGTGCTGAACAAAATGAAGAACAAACACCAAAAATTTAAAATACTGTCTTCTAGAATTATTTAGAATCTTAGCTGAGCAGCAGGGAAAGTGGGTAAATGTGTGATTTATTCCAAGCACCTGCAGACCAGAGACATTTCAAATGCGCACAAAGCATGTGGAGACGATTTGCTCCAGACGGAGCACACTAATCATACGGCTGTTGAAAGTTCTTCGACAGCCAACAACCGGCTTCATCCATCCTGCTGTTCACGGGATAGTCCCCGAGTTTATGTGAATATATTATGTTACGCTTGTACCCAAACTGTACACAACTGGCGAAATATACTCGTTTTCAAACGGAGACTCATATGAATCTCTCGCTTTTGATAGTTTTCAACGAAATGTGCTGCCTCGTCATGTTTGTATTGGCACGACATTCGAGATATTGCAGTATGTCATTCTGGGCGTACCCGAGAAACCGATCTCAGATAGACTCGATCACTGAAGGCTGAGTGATGCTATATCCTGCCTAAGTGTGAGTTACAAGGCTGAACAACCACTCGTGGCCAAACTGCTGAGTGTTCGTGGGTTCGAAACTTCTCTTGATTGTTTTAGATGCACACTGCCGATGATTCCTTTCACGTATGAGCCGGTTGCAAGTGAGTGCTTCTCAGCTCTTCAGCATAGACTGACTCCAGGTACAACACAATATATCCATTGGAAAACTACCAGTGAAAGAAAGAAGGCCTTCGCTGCGGAGTTATTTATTAGGAAATGCCAACTTACCGGTTACAGACTATTAGACAGGGAAGTAAAACTCTCATTTGCATCTTGTTTACAAAAAACTAGACATCCATCTTCTCTTGAACGCATCTGCTTGAACTTTCCTGGATATTCATTGACTCCAATCATTCATTGTTCAGATTTAAGCAAATGCTACAATGCGACTCTACGAATTCCGCAAGAGATCTCGCTTTGCAAGACAAGCGAAGCGAAATTCCAAGAACAACACATACTACTCGCAGGCCTCCCCCTCAGTAGTATCACCGTTACACCAGGTCTCCCCACACTACATAGCTCGGATCTATCAGACTGCTATGAAGCGTATTTAAGTGTTTCGGCTCACTAAAAAAACAGTAGTTCGCAGGGAATCGGCAGAATGTGTCACACACAAAAAGCTAATATTCCATTCGGCTTAGCTGTCACGTGATACGAGCAAAATAGGGGTCAGGGTGGATGATCTACCTGGATCCTCATCTTGTTTGTTTCATTTCCACTCCATCTATATGTGTACGCATGCCAGAAGTACCACGTTTCGGCATGCTCCGATGCGAAGTGAAGATAATCGAGCACGTGACAGTTCCGTTCACATGAATGCGAAGTGAATCGAGCACGTGACAGTTCCGTTCACATGACGCTAGAAATAGTGTGGATAAGCTCAATACAGGGAATGATTGGTCCATGAATTCGCACTGACGCTTGTAAACAAACGGCTATTATGTATTGAATGAGTTCTGAAGATAGTTTGGGAACTTTTCAACCAAACAGAGCAGACGATAACGGAGTAGTATTCAAATCCAACACAGTTTGAAACGGAATAATCTGAGTACTTTAACAAATATTGTCAACCTTCATTAGCTTTTATATTCTGAAAAGAAACGTGTGTGAACGTAGAACTGCCGAACCTCGGGATCTGGTTGAACGCTTAGGAGCGCAATATCGTAACCGTCTGGAGCCTTAGTTTACTGCAGCAGCCCTTGATGCCACAGAAGAATTGTGAAATTACCGGCCATTCACGAAGTATGATGATCAAAATAGGTCACAACGCAGCGCTAACACCAGAATAAACAACAACTCCGCTTTTGCCCCTAGGTCGTGTAGGCACATCCCAAAAACTAAAGGTTGAAAAGTCCCCCGGCTTCACACCGTAGGTTGTTCACAATTCCACAGAAAACTTACAGTTCTTTTTGGATCACGTGATATTGCTTCCATTATTTGAGCTACCTGAGATCGGACCCCACGTAGGCACCCTAAGATTGGCCGCTTCATCCGCATCCTGATAATGCTACAGTAACAAAGGCATACACTTTCTGCTATCCTTGTTTTCACACCTAAAACAGTCCAGTCAGGAGAGAGTGAAAGTCAACTTTTGTTAGTGTTTCTGAAAGAATGGGCTGCAATTTAACTTGCCTGCCGCGCTATACACGGTCTACAGAGAACTGGTAGTCCCAAGGTCAGATACATCACCTTATTCATCACAACAAAACGACAATCAAGTTGGCTTACCGAACAAAATGATACCTCTACTGGGGAGAATGTGGAAGAAGGCGGGCGCTGCATTGCGCGGTGGGGAGTTCCAGGGTTCGGGAGGGGGGAGAAAACACGAAGAGATCGGTCGCAAAACGAAGACCGATGATTCTGCAGTAGTAACCGGAGTGGATCCCTTGAGAGTTTATAGATGATGCAGGTTGTCCGGTCAGATACGCGGAGGCATGTCAAGGTGGGAAATGAATATTTTCGTGTGCTACACAAAATCGGGAGATGGTTACCAGGATTTTGTCCTAGACTTCAAAACGATGCTCCGGTTGAGGGGAATCTTCGATTTTTGAAACAGTCGCAGGCACGGGAATGGGGTACAGCCACATTCGACGCAGCTTCATTCGTCAGTTTGCTGACTGAACAAAGTGGAAATACAGCAACAAAGATCAGGAGGACTGTCGAATAATGTGTGGTTACGAGGGGGATACGGAGGAATTGGTAGAGCTGAACATGGTAGCGACTGCAAAACGCCAAGTATGAATGATGGGGATATCATCGTTCATAGTGCTGGTCGTCTAAAGGCGGAGTCTGAAGAAGAGCGTGGAGCTCGTTGGAACAGACACAATCGGACGGACAGTGTTATCGTAAGTAATCTAAGCATCGGTAAGAACCTTCATTCATTGTGTAAAGAGGGTAGATGAGGGTAGATGAGATACCCTGTGTTGAGGTGCCCTGTCGTGAGAACCCTTTAAGCTGCGCATTAATCGATCGAAGAGAGTGATAAGCGTACACTCTGTTCTGGAAGCTCGGGTATCTTGGAAAATACCTTAAAGAATGCTAAGCATGCACGAAGGAGAGGACCTAAAGGCCTTGGCCAAATGATCTACGAAGATGGCAGTGTTTTCTAACGGGAAAGGGATTTCAAGACGACACAGGCATCTCAAGTAAGAAGAAATAATGGGAAGCAACGGTCAGTAGATTCGGCTAGACCTAGCTGCTTCTGGTGTGTGAATTCGACATTGGATCAGTGTTCGTACACGTGAATTTCCCTTTTATCCTGTAACCCCTGTGGTTCCAATAACGGGATTGCAGGTAGTCAGGAACCCAAAGCAACTGTACCACCAAGGCAACGATCCGTGGACAGGCATACTACGCTACCAGTGAGCAGGATAGTCACCGACTTGGAAAGTAAAGAATAAACAAGAGCGAACCGTCGATGACGACGATGCGCCGTTCAACAGAAAACACTCTCAGAGATGTGAGTAGAAACCGGTTGGTGCGACTGTCACCTAGACAAGAAATCGAGAAGAACGGTGTAAACACAGCGCATACAGTGTATATACAGTGTAAGGGTATTGGATGAAAGTCGGAGGAAGGCCAGAACAACTACTGAGTTTGGTGGCGAGGAAGAGAGCCAATCTATGCGGTTCGTCGCCGACACAGTCCTGGATACGAGCGGAAAAAATGCATCCCGTCTCGTGTCCAGCTTAGTGTTTCAAATCACCAATAACTCGGCATTCATAGTTGGGCTGGC